ATGCTGCTAACACTGAGATGTTGGTGCATGCATCTCTAATCTGTATGTATCTGATTATTACTAGTCATAATCAGTTGCACTTGAATCCTTGGAACCTGTGTATGTCTATAAAGTCAGTGGGTACATTTCAGTGGTAATGTTTATCACCTCTACTAATTAACATGACATAAATTCTTATGCTTCCTCCTCAAATACAATTCATTTTTTTAGTTTGTTGATTTTTTGTGTGTGTGCCAAACACAACAGAAGACAAACAAGGAAACAGGGCTGGCCTTGGGAAAAACTGAGATGTTAGGTGGTCTTCAGCTCAAAATTAGACATCCTTCTTTGGCCTCACAAGTGAGGGTCTATGATTCCTGTCCTCTCATCACACCATTAAGGACTTACTGGGGAGGTATTCTTTAGCTTGTGTGCACTGCCTGGGAAGCTGGCATTCCAATACTTATCTCCAAGGGGAACTGTTGTATTTACACACTATACAGCTTCACCAGGGCTTTCCAACTACTCAGCAGACAGCGGGGACGTGAGGGGACAGAGTCTGTATCACTGCACCAATGGAGCCTTTGCTAGGTGCCAGGCATTGTATAGGGTACTTCTGTTCATACAAATTCTCTCTCTCTCTCATCTTTAAGTTATGAATATGAAGATTGCTACTAAACTTTTATGGTTAAGGAAACAGTGGCTAAGTTAACTTGGCTGAGGGCATACAGCTAGAGTCTGAGTCCCAAATCTGTGTTGTTTAAACAGGCCACTTAGGCCTTAGCAAGGTGCCAGCAGAACATAGTCTAAGCTCTTTGCTCCACAGAGGCCTTTTATGTAGAATGATGGGCTGAGGACTAAGGGGCGCTCTAATTACTCAGAGCAGCATACCATGTCCCCATGGCTGGCCCTGTCCTACCACCTCCTACTTCCTGCCTTGCACTTCAGGGGCAGCTTTTAACTCAGCCCACAGCCTCTTTCTCCGTTACTCATGCTGTCCTCTTGCCTAGAATCAAGCTCTCTCCCTTCTCTTTGCTCATCACACTCATTACAAGGTTCAATTCAAAGTGTATTTTTTTCTATTTTTATGAACCATCTCAATTCTCTAGTGCCAAAATATGCATTTAAAATACAGATTCTTTTTTTTTTTTTTTTGCCTAATTGGATGCTCTAGACCAGAGCCTCAACCTTACACTGTTGGTGTTTTGGTCTACATAATTCCTTGTTATATATACAGGGTACTTTCATCTGCATTGTAGATGCATAGGTAGATCCTTGGCTCAAACCACTAGATTCTAATAGGACTTCAGACCACCCAACCTCAGGTTATGACAACTAAAGGTATCTCCATATATTGCTAAATGTTCCAGTGGTAAGAAGGGCAAAATAGTCCACTGGTCAAAACCAGGTCTTCTGCAGGAAGCACAGTCAGCCTGAATGAAACTCTCTTGCCCTTGGCTGTGAGAACATCCTGTGCTGCCCTCCGCAGCTGCAGTGTATATACTGTACTGTCAGGCTTCTTTCCCTGTCCTGTTCATAAGACTGCAACTCCACAAAGGCGGGGATCTTATCTTAATGCTGTGTGCAGCAACTGCAGATGGACAGCAGACTTCTAGAGGCCACAATCCCACCTCTACCCATCAAGCTGCCAGGCCCTCTCCTCCAGCTCCTCTCCTCTTCCTTCTTTCCTGAGCAAGGCATGGTCTCCACCTTGCTTTTCTCTCCACTCAACACATTCAGATGTCCACTTTTACTGCACTCATTTCCACACTTCTGCACTCCATCTAGATATTCTGGGTTGCCCAATTTAGCCTCAAAATCCAGGGTTTCTACTGCCTTGAGGCCTTCAAGCCAGACAGGACTGATTCCTGCCTTAGTCCGAACTGGTGAAGACAGGGTGGGCAAAGAACATGAAGGGTTAAAAGGCAGGACAGCTTCCATGACTGGACCAGTGAACCCAGAGCCTGGGAATGCACTGGTAGTTTTTACTGAGATATACATAGTATAAGACATACTACTGTTAAGGCTACAGCTCAGGAAATCTGCTGTAAGAAAGCAAGTGTACACATGAATTCTGGCAGTAAAGCACATAACCTTTCTGTACCTGAGGTTCATTTTGGTAGGAGGGGATGGACTAGATAATTTGGAAGTGCCATGGTTCTATGATCTTGCTCATTATTGGACACAAAGGATGCTATGTATTAACGATACTCATGATATCTACACATAGTGAGAAACTAAATAATGCCAATGTACTGCTTAGTTAAAATATTTAAACTCATACTCAATTTCCATGAAGTCCAGTAACTACTGCAAATAAATGTAAGTTTAAATACCTGTTGCACTTATATTTGTTCAAGTTCACCTGACTTCTATCATACTATTCTGTTTTATATGCTAAATCTGTGTATTCCTCACAGTTTAACATTTCAATCTATGCCTGGGGGGCACACTGTGATAAGCCTGAATTCTTCTCATGACAGCTCAGTGACCTATCTTATTTAAAATATTTCTCTTTATTTTGTGCCTGCAACCAATGTGCATGATGACATGAAGTGGGGCATACTGCAAGAGCAACAAGAGACAAGGTCTCAGCTTCTGAGACTTGAAATCTAATGACAAGCCTTGTGGCTGAAGGAACTGTTCCCATCACCACCACCTCCATTATTTGCACTGCCTTTTGAACCACAGAGCTGTTTTCTCAGGAATGCAAACACATGAGACTGGGCTATTTTTACTTCCCTTGGCTGCCCCAGGAGGATACCTAAAGCAAGCCTGGCTCCCAGGCCTGTCCTACACCTTCTTACTTACCCATGCGCCTTCTGAGCAGATTCGTACTTTTTGCATGTCTGTGGGGCCATCCTCCAGGTTCCGAATCTCCTCTTCTTCTTGCTCCTCTTTCAGGGTCAAATTGAGGGGGTAGGTGGTAGACTCCATCTCTGCAAACAAAGATTCAGCAAAGACAAATGTGTGAACTCTCCCAAAGCCTGTGAGAGGGAGGCTCGTCCACACACAAACCTGTTCAGCTCAAAGCATTGTTTACTTCCAGCTGGAGTGAAGGCAAGAGATAGGAGGGTTTTTGGTGAAGCCACCAGGAAGCCGGAAGGTGGCATCTTTCCTATTAGAGGGCCTGTGGCTAGGAAACATATCTGGCTGCCTTCAAATATTTAAAAAGCTTTCCGTGCCACAGAGACCATGCTAGATTGTATAGAGTTTGTACAGAGGAAGGGCAGAACTGAGACCAGTGGTAGGCATTCCTGGAAGAGGTTTCAAACAGTGCACTGACAGGCCAAAGTTTCCCACGGCCAATACCACCCAGAGACGGGTGTTATTTGCTACCAGCTCAAAGAGTCTGAGTGCAGATAGGGCGCTAGAATAATTTGGCCCCAAACACTCACCACCTGGATTTTCCAAATTAAATTCAAAGGTGCTGTCCACAAACCAGTTCAGAAACTGTCCTTCTGCATTAAAGGACTTTCTAAAGCCACGTCTGAGATACACGGAGAGGGGTGTGCCAGATACCTAGAGAGGTGCAGAACTACGGGCGCCAGCCCAGACCTGTTATGAGTCCTCGGCTCTGGGCCGCAAATTCTCTATTCGCAGATTCCTGAGCCAGTACAAAGAGCTGCTCCCCTAGGGACACTGGCAACTGCTAGGTGTGGGGCTAAGTGTGCCTCCTCGAAGTCCCATTTTCCAGGACTTCCAAAGCGAAGATCTTCCCAGAGTTCAAAGTCAGCTTCTTCAAGGTTTCCGAAAGGCAGAGGAGCGGCAGGCATGAGTCTCGGGCCGGGGGGGAAGATGAGCCTGGGTCTCCCGGAGCTGGGGCTCGAACTTGGCCGCGGCCTGGGCCCGGCGGTGGGACGTCAGGTGGGAGGGGCCGCAGCCCGCCGCGCCCCCGGCCTGGGACCGCTCCAGCCATCTTGCCCCAGTCGCCTTTTCCCCGGGTCCACGCCGCCCGCTCCGGCCTGCAGCGCACCTACCCGGCACCCACACCCCGCGCCGCCTGCCTCCCGGG